TGAAAAAGTGTCTCACTTTCAGCACTAACAGTTCAAAAATCCTCCAGAATTGCGCTAGCATAGGCACAGGGTATGATATGAATTAAGCAGTTGTTAACTGATTGAAGTATGCTGAGTTAGGAAATTTAATAAATTTAATGACTAGAGTAGTTAGTGACAGTGTAATATACAAGACCTCACATGTTATGTAGTCCAAACTAATTTCGTCAATATAGCCTAGAATTATTGCTGTGGTAAAACGTGGAGACTTCGATTGCATTTTCTTATCAGCTTTAAATAAAATACTTTTTGTGTTTTTATAGTGCTTACAGTTCTTTCGTCCTCTTTTATTTCTCTATCTTATTCTTTAATTCACTTTCAGCGTCTTTTTAAAAAATACCTACCCGGTTGCTACTGTAGCGCCACCCTTACTAAGCATATTTTAAAGAACACTTTTTCACACACAGAGACGGTTCTCTTTACCTCTACCCTCCATAAAAAAATACAGACGCTTACGTTCCTTTGCGCACAGAATTAACAGTTTCTGGAGCAGTTCTGGTAGCTCGTTCCACGCGCGGTTTCTTCTACACGATCTAAAAAACTCAAGTGTCTCAGTTATGCGTCACTAAAATTCTATATAGCAATCTGTGTATTTTAAATCACAATAGCCACGTATGCCTTAACATATATTTCTTTTAAACTTTAATTTAAATTGACAATTTATTCCACACACGGTTACGTACCGAAATCCTGCCTATTTCGGCCGCGAAGCAGTCATACCAAGGAGATTTCGTTCACGTATATCACGGAAAGGTTTTTTTTCCTACCTAAGCTGATAGCCTTGAGAGGCTATTTCAGCGTAACCTTAACTATATAGTAGGTGAGCTCACGGGACTCAAACCTGACGATGTTGCTAGCAAGAGCCGTGCTTCGCAGAATATACCATCGGATCGGAAACGCGACCCACTGAGAAGATCCGGCGAGAAACTCAGTGGGCTGTGTCTGTGGGTTAAATTACTCGCCGAGCCCTTCGTCTCAAGCGACGGGTTCGACGAGAACGATGACCGGGTGGCAAGGCATTTACATTAAGATATCTATGGGCTAACCTCTTAATAGCAGATGGGCCGCGAGTTCTATTAGTTTGTATCTAAAAAGCTTCATTTCTCAAGTGGTCCTATTCATTCAGTTGACAACTGAGCTTAAAATTCTATATTACATCACCCTGTTACTGTAACAACAGCGCGTTTATCGATTATCGATCGTTCTAAATATTCACTAAGCATCTGTTCTTACCCGTAAATAGACAAAAAACATATTCACAAGACATAAACCTAAAATGAACTTGTAATTATCCACACGAAGGACGTTCTCTGACGAATAATTTATTCGGTATTATAGACTTTGTCAGTTGTTTCGGAGTTGTTATTCAAAGGGAATTTGTTCTATTTTGATTTGGATCGAAGACATTGTCTTGATTATTAGGCTAGTGGCAGTTCTGCTGTTAAAAACATTGAATTGAGTTGATATCGTTCAAGTCTTGTACAAAGTACTCTGTGTAATAAAATTGAAGTCTCTATTTTCTTTAGGGTTTTAGATTATGAATTGGTCTGGATTTTTTCAGGACTACCAACCAATCAATTTGACTGTGTTTATCGGCCCGTTGGAAATAGTCTGATTAAATTATGTTTATATTACATGAGTGTCCGTTTAATAACATTGGACAAATATGTTACGGGCATTGATAGATAGCTAAATGAACAAAAAATGCTTTAAGAAAAAAGCCAAGTTAATGATGAAAAAGCCAAGATAATATTAAATGAAAAAAATAATCGATAACCATATTTTTCTATGTATTTTAGTGGTTTAACGTTTGGGGTAATGAATAAAGGGAAGATCTTTTAACTAGATGTTGAAATTTCTCGCTAAACTGTCGGTCTAAATATTGGTTTCAGATTTTATTGAAATGAAAATTTACTTTGAAAATGTCGTTAGAGCAATTCAGGCATCTTTTAAATATCTTGTGTTCTTTAATGGCTTCCGCTACAAGCGAATACTTTTGATCGATTCTGTCACCCATTTTGAACTATTTCATATTTTATTTCTAACAAATATCTCCATTTATCTATACAATAATTTCACGAATTTCCTTGAGCCGAAACACGTCTGCGTCACGGCGAGAATTAGCGGGTTTGTGATACCACCCCGTGCGGGCTCAAAGCGTACAGAAATTATGATTTATCTAAATTGGAAAATATGTTAATGTAAATCTTAACAGCCATAAACACGTTGTGTGGTGAAGGCGCGTCATACATCAGTTCACCACCCGCATAGCCGCATAATTTGATATCGGCTGGCAGGTAAAGTTGGGGCTACATTGTAAGCGTGCTCGTTACGAAAACGTATAAAATTATACTTTATAAAATTTTATAATTCCCGTTATAAAATAATGACGAGTAATAAGTCGTAAAAGTGATTTAATCCTATCTACAACTGAAGAAAAATTAAGAACTTTTTAATTATAATCTTAATTTCTACTTGTGATATTAGACCGAATACATCTAAACACCATATTAATATGTATTACTATATTTTTTATTTTTTATTTATTTTTACGTGCTGTCCAAGGGCTGGAAGATCTTGTTGGTGTTAAATGGTTATCTGGATCTCAAAGACAACTTACCTTAGTAGATGAATTTGATGTTTTAGTTATTTACCTTACAACGTACAAGAGGTTCACTTAGATTTGACGAAGATCGTACACGATTATCTTCCAGGAAGGCCAGCGGGTCGGCCGAAAAATATTTACCTCTAAACTCTAACAGTAAGACCCCACCTCACCGCATAATGAATGCATTGAAAGAACGCAGGCAGGCACGTCGCGTGCAGTGTGTGTCTTTCGTATTAATTCACTAAATAATACTCATTATAACAACTGGGTCAAGTTCGACTTTGTTTATTTTAGTTGAATGTAACAGAGCGTATTCGTTGTTCACTATCATCGACTTTTATTTGTTTATTTGAATATTGAATACGTCGTGGCCTAAAGGATAAGACGTCCGATGCATACGTGTTGAGCGATGCACCGGTGTTCGAATCCCGCAGGCGGGTACCAATTTTTCTAATGAAATACGTACTCAACAAATGTTCACGATTGACTTCTACGGTGAAGGAATAATGTGGCGGGTAGCCATCATACGACGCAAGATAATTGACAGATGCCTGAATCTCGCTTACGACATTTTCAAGATAAAGCGCATATATACAAGTTCCGAACAACAACATTCGGACCGTCGGTCTACCGAGCAATATCACCCGCTCGGTGGAAGATCTTCCCTTTGTCGTATATTCCTACAACTGGTGACCTACGACGGAACAATCGCAGCCTTCTGATTCATCTTCAGCGCATCAAGAACTCCGGCTACCACAATCCCCGCATTCTCGCAGATAAAAGCANGCTTTAACAAAAACCGACTTCAAATAGAAAAAAAAGGTATTCTGAAACAAATTAATACATGCTAAAAACAATAATCATCGAAATCGGTTGGCGTGATATTGAGTTATTGGTTATTCGTCTATTTGTCGCGCACGTACTTAATGCAAATATAAGACTTAGGGTTTCTGATGGTAACCATTATCAGAACTGGACTAAATTAAAATGGAACCACACGGGAAGCGTTAGCTTTTTAATAAAAAAATAATCATCACAATCGATTCACCCAGTCAAAAGTTATGAGGTAACAAACATAAGAAAAAAAACATACAGTCGAATTGAGAACGTCCTCCTTTTATGAAGTCGGTTAAAAACAAAAAAAATACAAAGTTATATTTTGTAAAAAGCACGTTTCGCATCGACGTTTTTACGATAATTGAAATTTTAGAGTCCACGTCACGTTCCCTTTTAGCGTGCTTTTGAAGTTTAACGTTGAAAGCTGAAGTGCTTTAGTGCTCAGAGTAGACCAATACATGTCATTGGCAATTTGTTTTTGTCGCAAAGTGCTTATCGCTTGTGCCCCGACATTTGTAAATTAAGTGACAAATATTTTTGTTTTCAATCTTTTTATAGACAAATTACTCAGGAAAACCGAGCGATATTTTATCTGTACGCTTACAGAACGATATGAAAAATTTTAACGGGACATTTTTGTTATTTTGTTACGTGAAACGGTTACGTACACAAACGTAGGCAAACGTTCCAACCGCATACCAATTTGAGTTAACTTTTACGCTATCGAGAACGTTAAAAAACTTGCACTAAGCACAATGTATTACGCTGAATAAGGAATACTCGTTCAGACACAGTAGTGGTAAATAGTATAGCATAGGCGAACAGATAAGATTTTTGAAGTCGTCGTGGCCTAAAGGATAGGACGTCCGGTGCATTCGTATATAGCGATGCACCGGTGTTCTAATCTCGCAGGCGGGTACCAATTTTTCTAATGAAATACGTACTTAACAATTGTTCACGATTTACTTCCACGGTGAAGGAATAACATCATGTAATAAAAATCAAACCCGCAAAATTATAATTTGCGTAATTACTGGTGGTAGGACCTCTTGTGAGTCCGCACGGGTAGGTACCACCGCCCCGCCTATTTCTGCCTTGAAGCAGTAATGCGTTTCAGTTTGAAGGGTGGGGCAGCCGTTGTAACTATACTGAGACCTTAGAACTTATATCTCATGGTGTGTGGCGCATTTACGTTGTAGATGTCTATGGGTTCCAGTAACCACTTAACACCGGGTGGGCTGTGAGCTCGTCCATACATCTAGGCAATAAAAATAAAAAAAAAGATAAAAAAACAGAACTTTCAAATTTGAATTACATATGTTTTTAATATAGTATGTATGTATTATAGTATGTGTATATTATATTCATATGACGAAGCCCATTTTCACTGTAATATAAAAAATATTTCTAAATACAAAAACTTTTTGTACTGTTTGCAACACAACGAAAGCGTTTCATATTTACAGAATTTAATGCCGTGATATTAAAATATTTATTTCTTTTTTTCTTTTTCCAGCCAAAAAAGCTACAACAGCCCGTGGAATTGGACAACTGTGACCGCGACGGGGGACTGACCTAGGGCTCCGCGCGGTCCCCCTGCGCACCATCACTGATCGCAGCCGATGGAGCGCCAGCCGGTCTCACGCGGAATACAAAAACCTATAAATAAACATTACATACACCTAAACAACAATACCATAAAGACGTGATTGAAAAAAAAAACAAAAAAAAACGTTTTTTTTTTAGTTTTGTGCTATTTTATTTGGTCCGTTAAAAACAACAAAGGCCCTAAGTGAAAAGTGGTTGAATATATCCTTGGACGGAAACTATAAGCGTATTTTAATATCTACTTAGTGATAAACTTAACGAAAATAGAATCTTTGTAAAGTTATATAAAACTTAACTGTAATAGTGAACTATCGTCGTGCATTGTTTTCTCATATCGATGTCTTAGTTGTGCGGAAAGCCTTATATGTTTAATTTTTTTAATGGATTTTATGACCTGGTAACCAAGACCTTTAGGTCATGTCTTATTTTAATTAATATTCATATTTTTATGAAAAATGATTTTATGGAGTGAAATGAAATTAAGATGATTAATTTGAGACATTGATCAACTGGGATGAAATATAATCTCAGTAAAATGGTGGTCATTTACTAAGATTTTTTCAGTGGACTTTTTGGGGGATCCCGAGAAGTTACGTCCAGCGGCTTTGTTTCATTTTCACACATTTGTGCACTTTCACAGACATTAAACAGTTAATAAACCACCGTTATTACACATTTAAACCCGAAGAAACACTAAATAGACAAAATAAAACAAATCACACAACTTCACTCCTCGCGTTCCCGCCAAAAAGTCCTTATATGTTTAATGAGACGGTAAACAAATTCCACGGTTTTAAATTGCACAATTCATACATTCTTACTTCATTGAAGTCGTAACATGAAATGTAATTTTGTTACGTCACTTCATTTCTTGGACTCTTTTCGAAGTAAAAATTAAAAAAAAAAAAACTACTTACAAATTGACAATTGATTGTCTCACTGACCGCATTGTCGTTACAATTTCGCAATAACTTTTAAAATAAAACTGATTATTATTGAATTTTACTATTCTGTTTGTATATTAAACTTAGGTAATGTATACTTACATAATGTTAAGCTCGGAAGGAATCACAGAATTTACATCTAAATCATCCCTAACTCATTACAGTTAACTTATGGTTTAACAAAAAAAAAAAAAAAAACAAATTTATTGATTACATATTACTTTTTATGTCTTGTTTTCTTATAATTTATTTGTTCTATGTTCATTTATTTTGTTACTGTTAAATTTATATTGTTACGATTATGACGTATTATTATTTGAATTTAGTCAACAAATCTCTACTGAAAACATAGAAATGTATTTATTTCTTTATTCGAATAGTATTATTATAAGCTATTAAATAAATATTCGTTATAATGTTTATTACATTATTTATTATGATAATTACAAATTGAATAGAATGTTATTAAAATAGCATGTCGTTGAAGCACACGTTGTTTAGTTAAACGGAACTACTTCTATATAGAGGTCGTCGATGAACGAAATTATCCGTCCGTTGTGGAGTTCTCGGAGGCACCCACCCTGAGCTGGTCTGTACGAATATCTACCAAACGATTCTTAAATCCTTAAATTAATGGTCAAAATCATTTTATATTTAAAAAAAAAGATGTGTGGTGTCGTGGGACACCGGATAGGAACGAAGTTCCTTATTATAAAAATACTAATTTTAAGTTCTATTCGAGGTTTAAAGAAAATAATTATTCGGGTACATATACATTTTATATTATGATTTTTTATTGATTAAAAAAAAAAACTACTTTACAATGTTATCAACTTTATTTTATTCACAATGATTTATAAAAAAAATATATAATAATATACAAAGAAACAGCTACTTGTATGAATTATAATAATAACCGTCGTCACGTAAACTATACATTAGACACTGTATAGCCATCATACTAAGACTATACATAAATAATAAAAATCTTACGTTACGGACGTTTTTTCCCGGTTAGGGTAATCCCCTCCGCATCTTCCCATAAGGAACTTCGTTCCAAAATTTTCTCTATATCCGGTGTGATAGGTATAGTAATGACATTGATATTAGGAGGAATGGGAACGGGTCTATCATCGATTCGCTCTCAATCCTGTTCAGAAAATTTTTAGCGATTTGACTGCTATGTAGGTCAACGGTGCACTGAAGTAATTATGTTGATTACTCTCCTCGATATCCTTACTAAGGGCTGGAATATTTAGTAGACTCTGGGAACAACGAATACTCAGACATTAAGAATGAATCTATTTTATAAGAGACCTAATAGACTAAAACATACATTAAAAACAAAAGAAGGCAAAGTTAGGCAATCCAGGCGATTAGTGACAAAAAAACGATATACTTACTTCAGTGCGCCGCGTAGGGCACCGGTGACCTACGTAGCAATTAATGGGTTAAATGATGTATCCATTGCAGATAGCGTAAACAGATAGTAAATTAATAGATTTGATTATATTATTAATACAATGACCTATTTGTGTCCCCTTGCACCAAAATACAGGTTGGTTTAGGTCAGTGGTTCCCAAACTTATTTTGTCTACTGCCCACTTTGAGAATAAATTATTTTTTAGCGGCCCCATTATTTCTACCTACTTAAAAACCACTATAGCGGGAGCTCAGTCGGTGTCTAACAGTCCTAGATGAAATTACAAATCGCCCCCCAAGCCTCTACACAACGCCTCCATTTTTTTCTAGGTCTATTACCGCCTCCCATTAAGCCTGAAGCGCCCACAAGGGGGCCGTTTTCACTCACTTTGGGAAAGGCTGGTTTAGGTTTACGCGACATCCTTGGCCTGCACGCAAACATTGACTGTCTGTATTAGCCATATAAAAGCAGACGAAAACAATTTAAGATCGACCCCGGAGACTAATCGCGACATTCCTGAATACGTCAATCAGGATGCTAACAAACAAGACAATAGTGAATCTCTAAATTTTACTAAATTTACATTGACAGTGTTAGATTTTTTCACAATTCGATCAGTGTACCTTATTGTTATCTTTTTATCTTCTCGATCGGGTAAAGTTGACTCAAATTTGTATGGAGTTGGAACAGCTTCCCTTAGTTTGCCGCTAGGGGCGCTGTTCCAACTCCATGCAAATTTGAGTCAACTTTTACCCGATCGAGAAGTTAAAAAACTCTCACTAAGCGCACAGATTCACGTAGCTTAACGAGAAAACAGTATGTAGTGCAGATGTTATTACGAGTATAACTGTTAGTTTCCGCATGAGTAGATGTTGAGAATTCAGTAGTAGCGGCCCCGCAAGCGCGAATCTAACGGACCACACGGTACATCTATAACCAGCAGACGTGATTCTGTGTTTCATTGTTTTCTACGTCACCATAATTGGCCTACAAGACTCAAAGAATTGAGAGAGAAAAAAACTACGTAATTTTTTTTCTATTGCCCTTGTAGGCATACGAGCATACGGCCCACCTGATGGTGAGTGGTTACTGTCGCCCATGGACTTATGCAATGCCAGGGGCAGAGCCAAGCCGTTGCCTACCGTTAAGTACTCTCCACTAGCCTCGTTTGAAGAAGGATATGTCATAACGCTCGGGAAACGCCGTGGAGGGGAGCTCATTCCAAAGCCGGATGGTGCGTGGCAAAAAAGATCTCTGGAAACGCACTGTCGATGAACGCAGTGGTAGTGGGGATGAACTGTACTCCGGTGGCGGGCGGTGCGATGATAAAAACGAGATGAAGGTATCATCTCGAACAATTCCTCAGAGCACTTCCAATGTTGCACCAAAAAACCTTTCACCCTTCGATATATTTTTTACCTATTTATTTAAATAAAAATGAAATTCTGTTTGTTGGCAATCTTGGTAATATTTCATCCGAGGTTTTACAAAAAAAAAAAAAATGGAATTGATTATGATCTCTTTTTGGGTCAAGTAGTTTGCAAACACAATCATAAAGTTTAACTTTGTGTTCGCACAGACCAGTTCATCGCGTAAGCGTGCAATGATAACGGAATTGCTTACTCTAATTACTGCCCACCTGTCTCGAGTGTTTGATGATTGAGCACACAAGCACAACTAGTGCACAACATCTGCACGTTGCTGTTGGAATTCGCATTTCTCTTAAACATATATTCGTCTTAATCAGACGGTAGTCTAGATCAGGGGTGGCCAACCGGTAGATCGCGATCGACCGATCGACCAATAAAAAAAATATAAATACATAGATCAGACTGCGCAACGTAATCACCAATTGCTGCACGCATCATCTTCATCTTGTATCATTTGTTAATGACCATTACGTCACATTATTTATCCCCTCTTCCACACAATAGTTCTCTTTTATTAAATATTTACACCTTTATGTTAATCTTGTCAATAAATGAAAATATAATATTTATTTGTAGACAGTGTACTTAGTACGAGTTTTTTTAACGTTGTCGATAGCGTAAAAGTTAACCCAATTTTGTATGCAGTTGGAACAGCGCCCCTAACGGCAAAAGAAGGCATACGATCCCCTTCCATACAAATATGAGTTATCTTTTACGCTATCGAGAAAGTTAAAAAACTCGAACTAAACACACCGAACTACATTGTTTCATTAAATTTCAAGAAATGTCATTAATAGATTGTAGAGTGTTACGTCAGTAAACAGTAGATATTAGTTCTAATCAAGCTGGCTACCCCTGGTCTAGATGTAGTTTCATTGAAAGTACCGCCATCTAGTTTCTAGTTTGACAACTACATATAAATAATGAAGTTTGTTAAAATCAATAAATTTCGGTGTGTTTTAGTTATCGAATACCGACAAAATCATATATTTAATGTAAATGCGACAAAATCGAACTCGATTGTAGGTGTGTGCGTGTATTAGAAAATATTTTTATTGTTTAATTATGGTAAATTCGGCGCGTAGGTATTTCCAAATGAGTGCAATCACTGTAATGTTGGACTGTATGTATTTTGTTATTGTAGTTAGACAAGTGACGTTTGATGCATTTATTTTATATACGTGGTATACAATACAGGTTGAATTTTATTTACTATAACAGCACATTCATGGCCTGAGTTGAGTACAAAATAGTTCGAGCTCTAGATAACATGCGGCGTTGAAAAACCTTTTCATTACAATTTTGAAATTCAACCTGTAGAATTAAAATATTTAAGTACGTCGACACAACAGTAATTATATTCTCACTGTTGTTCATATTTAATTCTGGTTAAAATGAGAACCTTAGCATATCTGACAGAAATAATAATACTTTAATGATCCATAAATATTTTTATTAATTAACTTTACCTAGTACATAACTTTTCAATTGTCAAAATATTACATTGTAAATAAAGTAAATACAATAAAATATAGTTTTTCCTCTCATTTTAGCCAGTTACAAAGTCTGTGTTAGCGTCAAAATTATAATAATACATTAATATTACCTATAAAATTAAATAAAAAAATCGTGTTCTTATGACTACTTAGAATAAATTTTCAGTCCT